TATTTAAATAGGTTTTAGTATTGAATTTTTTATCTTTTGGTTAAGAAGACAAATAAAGAACTGAATTGGCTGTTCAACATGTATTACCACATGCTCTATTTAAAACACACTGAGAATCCACGGTGGCTAAAGCAGTGGACACATTAGCCGAATCGTTCGGCCGAATCAATCCGCGCCAAATTTTATTTGGCCGAATGGGTGGACACACTAGCCGAATGCTTATCCCGATTCAACCTGTCGATTGCATCACCTTTCACGTCACATGATTAAACATGGCGGCATCTATGTCTTCAATTTATCACGTGACTTCTTGATATGAGTGGGGATTGGCTAATGAATTCTATATTCGGCCGAATGCTTCGGCGAAGCGGACACACCAGGCGAATGACAGTGGACACACTAGGCGAATTTCGACGCAGATTGATTCGGCTAGTGTGTCAACCGCTTTAGTGGGTAAGATGCTGGCTCGCTAGCCTGGAGGTCGTGTGTTTAATCCCTGCATTGATCCAGAAAGTTCATCAGGATTTCCTGATGTGGTTTCCTCTTGCCATTGGTCCAGGACGGAGGGCCTGATAAGGACAGCTGTCTGTCACTCGAATGGGACAAAAAAACAAGGTCCTCTAAGTGCATTGGCGTGCACATAAAAGGCCCCTTGGCATTCAGAATTCGATACAAGAGTAGGTCATAGTTCCACTGCTCGGGGAAAATTTCCCTCATAGCACACTGTATTGCGTATGCCCGTCTTCATAAGCCCATTTCATTTAAAGCGATATTTTCTAAGAAAGTCAAAACATAATTATTTCTATGTCTTTTGCTCAATAGGTTATCAACTCACTATTATACGACCATGGGCATTATTTCCCACCCTTAAAAATCATTGAAACAGGAAATAATAACACAATTACCTCCCTTGTTTTCCTATTGCCTCCATGCATTAGCTACCTTCAAACGTTGGAATTTGAAGTTGAAAATAATATTTTTGCCAATTTCTCAGCTGGCAATAGTGACTTATAGGATTAATAGGATTATTCTTTAACAAGGTAGGACGGTTTATGGATACATTCTATTTTAAGGCTTTATTTTAATAAATTTTAAAAATATGAAATTGCAGCTTTAAGACAGACTGACCTTGATAATTTTGAATTGTATAAAAGTAACTTTGAAGTGAAGATACCTTTGTAAATACTGAACGCACATGTAGCCATCTTTGGCTTTTAGAGATTCAACTTTCACTATTTTGTAGTTGGCAAGGTGATTCCTCAAAGTGACATTCAGAGATTTTACTAAATAAAATATAATCGGAAATTATTCAGGGCTTGACAGGATAGCATTTAAATTGCCGGGCATTATAGCGATAGACGTTTAAAGAAGAGTGAGGATAATGTGTGGGATTATCCAGCACGCGGTCAGAATAACCTGTAGTCAACATCATCTGTCTTGAAAGTTAGTGTAGTCATGTTTACCCAGACTTGTATCTGTTTACCATCGCCAGCATCGGTACACAAATTGTGCAAACAAAATTTGTCGAGTCTGTTGACAATTTATTCTTTTTTATTTCAACTTTATCCGCTGTCTTAAGTAATACTGTATGACTCATTGCCACCGCCCCGGTCAAATTATCTATTTTGTTACAAACTAAACTATTTGTTGTTTGTCTGTTATAATTCTCTTGGCAAGAAATTTCATATTTTTGTTCACATTATCACGAAAGGCTTTGAAAAAATTGTCCATAGAAAATTTTAGTTTTTGTTCTGTTACATGTTGGCTGTTGGAACAAACCTTTAAAACGTTCAAACTTTGACCCTTAGGCCATGCTAATTCAATTTTCTGTTCTTCAGGATGGGAACTCTTGTTAAAATATGGGGTCTTATTTCTTGTGGCGGGGCTGGATTGACGAATGGTTAGAGTCTGCGCGTTTTATCATAAGGTGGTCTGTCATTGAGTCAACTGGCATGGTTTCAATTCTCTGGTTGTATGTGACAAGAAGTAAGATCGCCTGTCCAACCGCATGGGTTTTCTGATGGTCTTTTTGCTTCCCCCCTACTGCTAAAGACCCCTATGCGCAAGCGAATTGTTGAAATAAAATTAAACCATATGTTAGTACTGAAATGACCCAGTTAATGTCAAGTGGATTTTAAACTCTCTCTCTCTCTCTCTCTCTCTCGTGCAAAAGAAAATGATTTTTAAAATCAAAGATATCTGTTTGAATTTTTTAGTTTTTAGATTTTAATAGAATTCGAGTGGGCATTTATTTCTCCAAACCCCAAAGAATTAAAAAAATAAATAGTTTTGGCCTGATTATCAGGTAGTTATGGAATCATGCCAGTATAAAAAGATAGCCTTTGTGATTGTATAGAATAAGTAGCCAATTTGATTATTAATATTTTTACTGTCTATACAAATAGATTTATACTCATTATTAGATTTTGAATAAAACATTATTCACAAAATTCAAGTGGGTATATATACAACAAGACTCTACAGAAGTGAAAATTAAATAGAGTTGGCTTGATATCAGTTGACTATGGAATATTGCCAGGATAAATAAAGATAGCCTATTTGATTGTTAAATATCCTTATTAGCCTAGGCTGTATAACAAGTAGTGGGGGGTTGGATGGCTGAATGGTTAGCATGTGCACGCTGTATCATAAAGCCTGTCATTGAGTCAACTGGCGTGACAAGGAGTAGGGTCGCCTGTCCAACCTCATGGGTTTTCTCCGGGTCCTCCGGTTTCCTCCCACTGCTAAAGACCCCTATGTGCAAGCGATTTATTGAAATAAAATTAAACCATATGTTAGTCCCGATATGACCTAGTTTGTGTCAAGTGGATGTTAAACCCCATTTCTCTCTCTCTCTCTCTCTCTGTATAACAAATAGCCAGTTTTATTCTTAATAAAGCAAATTAAATAAAGTAGGTTTTAACGTCCTACTATTCTGCACCAACTGGGCTAATGAAGACAGGTGTTAAAGGGGCATTATGGGAAGAGTTGACAGTTCGCGCTATAATAGTTACAAAATAGATAACGTAAATAGAATATGCTGAAAATTTCAGTCAAATTACTCCACTCTGAACCAAGTTATTAGCTTTGGAATTTTAGGCTAACCTCGATCACCATTACTACGATAAAAAACAAAGTCTTGATTATCCATTTTTACATTTAATTATTTTGACGTTAAATCATCCTTCACAAAATGTATTCTAATCCAGTAAATATCACAAGATAGCAATGGCATCGAGAGTTATGGTCTGTATAAGTGAATTAATGTCTAATGAATAATTTAGATAACATTTAAGACCTAAAGAGAGGCCTGTAATAGACAGATATAGCTCTTGTATAATGTATGGTTAATAATTTATATACATTTAAGGCCTAAAGAAAGACCTGCAATAGACAGATTTAGCTCTTGCATAATGTATGAATAAAGATTCTATTTAAAGAGATATCATAGCCAATGTGGTTGTATACAACAAGTAGCTAACTAGTTTGATAATAATAAATAAAGTGATATTGGTGACATCACTTTGTTGGAAGGGAGGTTAGATAAAGCTATTTCATACCCTATACGCTGGGCTATTAGCAACAGGTCTACATGTATATACAGAGATACTGTAGTCAATTAAAGTAGTTAGCCAGGGAGAGGGGTTTTACATCGGGTTTTCCCCAATCCTATTCAGACATCCCGAATAAAAATATTATTTAAAGAAAAAAAGAGTAGCCAGACAGTTTGATTGTTAATAATGGTCTATTTAAGTAGATTGATACTGTTTATTGATAACTTCCTTCATTGAATTATAATCTATATTCATAACTTCCCTATTTATCAACCCTATAACTGACATTAATGGTTTTAACCAGTCCCTATTATAACTTCCTCTATGATTTATCACCTTCCCTGTTGTAATGTTTGTTTTATTTCGTATCAACAGTTTTCCTTGTCAATATTGGAATGGTGTATATGTACATGTTTAAACTTCCTTTTGTGTTCAGATATAAAAATAAGAAATGTAATGCAATTACACATACATGCATAGACCAGTATTACAGAGAGAGAGATGAGGTTTTACATCTTAACATCCACTCAACACAAACATAATTCATTTCAGGAATAACAAGTAGTACATGTACATAAACCTTCATGGAGTGTCCCCCATGAGAAAAAAATGTTTTACTATTTACACATGTACTAGAATTACTTAAACCCCAATGTAGGCGTCCCACTAGGAAAACACTCTTGAAAAGGGTTTTTTTTTTTCATTATGTTGATGAAGAGTCATGGTGACTAAGCGAGTAAGATGTTGGCTCGCTAACCTGAAGGTTGCATGTTCAGTTCCTGCATTGGTTGAGAAAGTTCATCAAGATTTTTCGGCGTGGTTTCCTCTTGTTACTGGTGTAGGACAAAAGGGGCTGGACAGAATTGTTTAATGCTATCCATCTATCCGTCGTCCACAATTTCTACATTTATCATCCGATTGTTTTAAAAATTTATGTATGTTGCTTACATTAGTGAGATGAAGAATCCTATTTAATTTCACCGAATTCGTTACATTTATCTAGTTTAATAATGTGTAACGTAATAAATCTCATTGATAGTACAAGTAAACAATGTAAACATTTCAGATTGGGGAGCCATGGTGGCTAAGTGGGTAAGACGCTGGCTCGCTAGCCTGGAGGTCGCGTGTTCGATCCCTGCATGGGCCGAGAAAGTTCATCAGGATTTTCCGGCATGGTTTCCTGTTGTCCGTGGTGCCAGACGGAGACTCTAACAAAGACAGCTGTCTAGTCGTTCGGATGAGACGGAAAACTGAGGTCCCATTGGCGTGCAAGTAAAATATCTCTTGACAGTTGGAATTCATAATAAGAGTATGCCGTAGTGCCGCTGCCCTGTCAAAATTTCCCTCATAGCACACTATATGATATATGCCTGTCTTCATTAGCCCAGTCGGAGCAGAACAGTAGGACGTTAAACCCCATTTCATTTCATTTTTTTTCTATTTCAGATTGAAGCCCAAACTGCTGATAAAAAATTTGAAAATGAAATAAAACAAGAACAGGAAGAAAAGAGAATCAAAGCAGAGGAAGCCAAAGAAAGAAAAAAAGCTTTCAAAGAAAAGGCGAGCGTCTTTAAAAATGTTGCATAGTTTGTAAATTGTTAATCACACATCAAACTTCATACCTTTACCTGTTGTTATTCAGCCAAAACATCAAATAAATACCAATTTCTACCTGTCAGTTATAATTACATACCGATTGACACACCTCAACACCTGAACATTTCAAATATGAAGGTATATTCCCCAAGCGTTACTCATGTTTTTATTGTTTTACTTAAAGATACATTATGTAAGATTTAAAAAAGAACTAGCCATTCTTACTATAATAGTTCGAAAAAAGATAATGTAAAATGAAAATATTGAAAAATTCTGAACCAAGATATTAGCTTTTGAAGGTTTGACAAGATTCGTGCACTGGTTGTTCGAAGCTTAGACTCGCTTCACCATTTTTAGATTAAATCAAAATATGGCTGAACCATTCTAATCTAGTTGAATCTCGAGTATCCAATGCCATTGAGAGTTGATTATGGTCTTCTTTTGTTAAAAAAATATCTAATTAATAGTTTATATAACATTTCAGGCCTAAAGAAAGACCTACAATAGGCAGATTTAGCTCTTGCATAATGTATGTTTAATGAATTTGAAATCTATTCATTAAATTTTTCATTATGTGATGAAAACATACCTTTTACAATCGCCACACGTATATGATGTTAAAAATACAGATATTTCAATATCCTTTGATAATCACTAAGGCTAGGTTCCCACTATCACGATTCTCGCTACGAATGAAATCGTGGAGTAATTGTGATGATTCTATCAGGTCTTATCATATATTAAGGTCAGTCATAGCAATCGTGTTGACCGTATCAAAACGTATTCGAACATATCTGCACGAAGCAGATTGTGGACTCAATAGGGACCATCCTATCGTAACGCAATGAACGACAGTAGAAACCTAGTATTACCATTATTTCAAATAATGGTACAAGATGATGGAAATACATGTATTTCATATCAAATCTGTATTTTTTTTAAGTTATAAAAAGGTTTTGAGCTACACATTACATATGGTATTTCCTGTCACGCTCTTGACCTTTAACCCAAACATTTAATTGTCACTAAATCATTCAGACATTTATCTGCAAATAGACTGCTAGATTAGATATAAATTATTTATATTGTATATGAAATTCATATTTGTAGAGTTTACTGTACTCCTGTCATCAGGGTAGTAATATGCTGATTATGATTTTTGTATGGTTAACTGTAGGCTACTCCTGTCATTGGAGTAATAATACGCTGATTACGATTTTAAGGTTTATGTACAATCTGATTAAAACACAGATCCTATTTCGTGTCGTTTTTTTATAGTTCATAATTTCGTTTTACTTGTCTTTAGTACACTAGTATCTGGAGGAGTTGTTATCATTGACGTGTTCTGGATGATGTAAGGGATTAGCCAATGAAACGGTCTGTTTTAGACGTGAGGTGCATGGAACTGTGGGTAACCCACTAGAAACATCAACGCTGATTGGTTAAACAAATATCTGACATTGATATAGGGTTAAAAGCGGCTTGTATGACCCCTGACGCGACCTGTTACTACAACTGGTCAGATCTTCATGTAGTAGAGACCATCGAAAGTATAAAAAAACAAAACGAAATATAGATCTGTATTTTAATCAGATTGAGATTATGTATTACCATTGTTTCAATGGCATTTAGTTAATGAACTGGACATACAGGTGACCATTCTATGGAATACAATTACTGCTTATTACTAAGCAAGTTTCAACTAGGCTTCTCGAGGCATTATCAAGCATTATAAGCAGTAATTGTATTCCATGGAAACGTGACCTGTATATATATATATATTACCAATGATGCTTAACTTACACTATATAGAGCATAATAATCCTTCTTAATATATTTACAGTATTGTAAACTATGAGGCTTGCCAAATTTATTATAACCTGTAAACTGTGCCAGATATACATGTACATGAAAAGGGGTCCTAGGTTATTCAACTTACGAGGACCCTATAATTATAAATCTTCCAAAGAATAATGCATTGGTATTAAAATTTATTTAGATGGCTAGGTTTGTGTATGTATATATTTAGGCAGTGTCTTTGATCAGCCAAAAAAACCTGAATGTCGAAAAATAGGGAAAATGCTGCTTGATCAGCTAGATTCAATGGTTCTTTTGTGAATCAAAGACACTGCTACTCTTAATAATTAAATATGTAACTTCTAAACATTTCATGATATATCAATATGAATTGTTTAAAATGATCTGAGCATTTTGTATATAGTTTGTTTGTTAACATATTATAGCCTCTCCTGATACTATTGTCCCCTTCCAGCCCCTCAAACCGCCATAAGTCAAACCAATACATGTAGCTGTCAACTATTTGTGGCTTATAAATCTTAGTACAAAGTTTAGCTCTTAGCCAATAAAAAAACTGCTTTCTTAAAATATTTTAGTTTTAAGTTTTGGTGAATTTAAACCAGAATAATTAGGTTATTAACTAGCTACGAATTTAAGAATTAAGAATTTTCAAACCTCGTATTCAAAAAATGTGAAGGCTCGTAAGATTCGTAAGTTTATAGCTGACCATAATATTGTCAGGGTTCCCGCGGTCATTGAAAATCCTTGAATATCCTTAAAGTTAAAATTTCATTTTCAAGGTCTTGAATATCCTTGAATTTCGCGGAAATAGGAAAATATCCTTGAATTTCTGTTGAGATCCTTAATTTTGTTTCAAATGTCTTCAATTCCTTTTAAATATGAGATTATAACGATAGTTGGTAATGTTTTGGTTATTTTTAAGATGAAAAATTGTAACATTAGGCTAAAAAAATGTCCATGTGAATCCTTGAATTTGACGTATATTTATCCTTGAATATCCTTGAAAAAATGTTTGACGAAGCCGTGGGAACCCTGATAGTATGTTTTAACTTCATGCTTCAATTGGAAGTGGTTGGTTTAAAATTATAAATTAATGACAATATGTATAAAGGGGCTTCCATGAATGACCATAATACAACACTGTAATCCAGGTATCATTTAATCTTGTGTATTTAGCATTAATTTCTTTCACATTTATTCAATATCAAATTTTGAGATTTGATATTAAACAAATGTGTAAGAAATTAATGCTAGATACACAAGATTAAATGATACCCAGGTTACAGTGTAGTATGTTCAACTTCATGCTTAGATTGATTGTGGTTGTTTTTTTATGAATTAATACCAATATTTATAAAGGGGCTTCATTGAATGACCATAATAGTTATACAGTACGTTTAATTTTACGCTTATATTGGTCGTTGTTGGTTTTTTATAAATGAATACCAATATTTATAAAGGGGCTTCCAGGAGTCAGTAAAAGTATCAAACTGCTCCACTGTAGTAATGTGAAAGGCTGAGCGAAAATTTACTATGAATCAATTTGTAATGATATGTCATTGTTGTTCAACAGATATGCAAGGGAAATTGTTACCCAAATATTTAGTTTTTTTATACTTTAATATATTACTTTGTTATTTATACTGTTTGTTATAAACTGTTTGTCAATCAGATTTAAACACAGATCCTATTTCATTTCGTTTTTTATACTTCAAAGTTTCGTTTTACTTGTCTTTACTACACTAGGATCTGGAAGATTTGTTATATAACCTGCGTTCTGGATGGCGTGAGGAATTAGCCAATGAAGCCATCAGGTTAGATGACTTCTTGCGGTGCGATGCACGGAACTGTGGGTAAACGACTAGAAACGCCAACGCTGATTGATTAATCAGGGTAAAAAGTTGCTTTATGACACCTGACGCGACCTCCCACTATAACCGGTCAGATCTTCGTGTAGTGTAGGCCATCGAAAGTATAAAAAAAAACGAAACGTAATAAAGATCTGTATTTAAATCAGATTGGGTGTTTGTATGATAGATGACATAGGCCAAAACATAAAATACCTGCTTTAATGGTTACTGGACCCTATTTTATTCTTAGCCAAAATCACAGACCCTAAACTTTTTTCTCTCATTTTCCAGACCCTATATAACTCGGTCTTGCCCAGATTTTCTCTAATCAAATTCCAATACTGAAATTTCAGTATTATTCTATTCATTATAAGACATATAGAAATAGATTTTACAAATTAAAAACACTTATATGGATATACTACTTCTGAATTTTATTAACATGTTAGTTTCAATACACATACAGGTATCACACATACATGTATCGTTATCAAGCACATGGGTATGGTTATTTGCTTGATAACGATATCTGTATGTGTATCGAAACATAGTATGTTAGTAAATTCAGAAGTAGTATATTCAGAAGTGTTTTTAATTCAGTTTTATTTTCAAGAACAATACTCAGTAATTAAACTAGAAATGATAAGAAACAGACAATACAAACCTAACAAAATAAAAAGAAAAAGATTTTCCGACCCACCCTATGTTTTTTTACAGCCAAGTTACCAGTTTTTTCTTGGCCTTATAGGTAGTCATGCTTGCATTTGTAGATAGAATTTGATTATTTTTCTAATGACTTATATTATAGTGCTGGAATAGATCTGTTGACGATTTCATTATTGTTTATTTTACACCTAGATATTGATTTCTGTTGCATGCATGTTTAATTTTTCAAGCTGTCATTCAGATTTATGTTGTAGGTTAGGTCATCATATTTGGGGATCCGCGCTGACTCAGTGAGTGAGTCGCAGTCATGAATTTGATCCCGGTATTGGCAGAGAGAAAGTTCTTGAGGATTTTTCAGCGATGTTTCCCCCCATGTCTGTGATGCAGGGTGGAGGGCCTGCAAGGAACAGGATTCACTTGATCTGATTGAACGACAAACCAGGGTCCCATGTGCCCCTTTGCGTGCACGTAAAAGATCCCTTGTTAGTTGGAATTCTATGGAGTGTAGGCAGACACACCACTGTCCAGGCTAAATTATACTCATAGCACACTGCATGGTGTATGCCCATCTTCATTAACCCAGAGGGGGGGGGGAGCTTTCTCGACTGACATTAGGATCGAGCCCGTGACCACCTTGTGAGCCAACATGTTACTCACAGAACTCTCTGTAGAGATACCCAGGCTGATCATCCATAGGATTTCTATAAAGCACGGTTCTCACTTAAACTATTTTACCAGTCAACCATTGCCCGTTTGTGAGAGGGAGATAAATGTGGTTTAACATTAACTCGACACAAACTAGGTCATTTCGGGACCAACACATGGTTCAATTTTATTTATATAATTCGCTTGCGCGTAGTGGTCTTTAGCATGACCCTGAGAAAACCCATGAGGTTGGACAGGAGACCCTAGTCTTGTAACGTACAACCGGGGATTCGAAACTCCGCCAGTTGACTCAATGACATACCGTATGATACAGCGTGCACGTGCTAACCATTCGGCCACCCCTCCCCTCCCTTGCCAGTTTCTATACAGTATGTTAATGTTATAATATTAGTATCTGAAAATATTCTCTTTAAAGATGCATTATGTCAATAATGTCAATAAAAATTCAGACCAATCTGTGCCAGACAAAGATAAAATCCAAATTTTAGTAATTTGATTGGATAATATTAGATTGATTTTAGTGCTTAGCCAATCAAAATTGAAGTATCTACTAAAATTTGGATTTTATCTCTTGTTAAAATTTCGTGAAACAGGGCCCAGGGGGATTGTGTTGATAGCCAGACATTGGTCATGGCAGGTGTTTTATTACTAGGCATGTGTATACTACTAACAAGTAGTTGGATGAAATTCAAAAATCTAATTTACTTAATCAAAGCAGAATTGTTCAAAGAACAAGCATACAAAATTTTATGTCGATCGGACTTGAATTGATGGAGCCTTAGACATTTTTTAAGAGTGTTTCCCCCCCCCCCACCTCAAAAAACAAATAAGTATGCATTCTAGTAGGTAAATTATAGTCAAGTGAAAGCCGTTGCATGGTTTGTGAGACAATCCCAATCTGGTAGGACGAAATCAAATAAAATGTCCCTGGTCAGATCTAGTAGGACAATGACTGGTAGAAGAGTCCAAGTGAGATCGAGTCCTGGCATGGTCTGTGAGACAATCACAATATTCTCTGAGACAATCTGGTAGGGTGATGACTGGTAAATTTTAAGTCAAGTGAGAGCCCTTGCAAGATCTGTGCGACAATCACAACCTGGTAGGGTGATCACAGGTAAAAGAGTCCTGGCATGGTCTGTGAGACAATCACAATTTGATAGGGTAATAACTGGTAATTTAGCACAAGTGAGAGCCCTGGCATGTTTTGTGAGCTTGTAGAATTACATCTATATATATATATTATACAGTATTGAGGGTTTATGTTACTTGCTCACATATCTCCTACCGTATACACATTAATTATCATTCATTTATCATGGATTTGTTTTTACGTTAAATATATATATTGTGTTTCCTATTACTATAAATATAGTATTATATATTTAAGTTTGTATTAAAATAAACATTTCACTCAGGATGCTTGTTTTTAATTTTATGTCACGATCCAGTATACACGTTGGTAAGTGACCCCTCCCCTCGACTGTTGGGATTTGATAAAAAAAAAAAAAAAAGCAAGCAGAAACTTATTGGCATAATTCTCTGGGATAGGATTTTAAACATACGAAATACATACTTGTAGGTTAGTTTTGTTTCAAAATAACCAAAACTCCATTTAAAAGCAACATGAGTTATACAGATCAAAATTTGAAGCATTCTTGGGTCTTTAGCAGTGGGAGGACGCGGGGATTCAAAAACTACGCTACTTGACTCAATGATAGACAATGATAATCCAGTGCACATGCATTAATCATTCGGTCTTCCAAATCTCCCTCAAAAAGGTAAAACCAACCATTTGAAGAGCCCCGGGGAAGAATGATCTAAGTCACTTTTTCAACGAACCCCAGTTAATGGTGCCATCCGGTAGCAAATTGTATAAGCTTTCTGTGGAACAATCACATTGAACCAAGGCCCTTCTGAAATGGCCTCCCGGACAAATATGTCCATCGTAATCTTTATTTGACCTTAATTTGGCTGAAAAGTCAGTTGTAATGGTAATTATGATTTGTATTAAACATCATTTTGCAGTTGTAATTAAACCCACTTGAGTCACTGCGTATCCAGTAAATATACAAGTTATGTTATTGTTGATATTTATTTTATTGTATAGTTGACATGTTAAATAGAAAGTCGTACAATAAGGCCATTTAATATAAAACAATGGTTTTCAGATACTGATGTGTCACTTAGAATGGAGAGAGAGAGAAACGTCCACTCTCGACATAAACTAGGTTACTTCCGGACTAACATGGTTAAATTTTACTTCAATAATTCATTTGCACATAGGGGTCTTTAGCAGTGAGAGGAAACCGGAGGACAGGTGACCATACTCCTTGTCACATACAAGCCGGGAATCGAAACCATGCCACTTGACTCAATGACAGATCATGAGGAAAGGCTGTATACAGAGCCTCCCAATATCCTTATCTTCACAATTAGAAGAAGACAATGAAAGTGTATTTTGAACACAATTGAGTTAAGCCGAGGATTTTTACAGATCATGAGCGGGATGGGGGGGGGGGGGGATGGCCAAATGGTTAGTACGTGCGCCTGCATCATTAATGTATGTCATTCAGTCAACTGGCGTGGTTTCGATTCCCCGGTTGTACGTGACAACCAGTAGGGTCTCCTGTCCAACATCATGATTTTCTCTGGGTCTTCCAGTTTCCTTCCACTGCTTCAACAGATCCCTTCACGCAAGCGAATTATTGAAATAAATTGAACCATATGTTAGTACTGAAATGACGTAGTTTGTGTCGAGTGGACATTAAACCCCGTCTCTCTCTCTTGACAGATCATGAGACCCTTGGCTTCAGCCTAACAAGCCTACAGGTAAATTTGGCACTACTCCCAGGTAAATTCGACATTGTTCCCAGGTAAATTCGGCATTGCTCCCAGATTGCCTGACAACCAGAATATATATTTTTTGTATGGCCTATGTAACAATGGTCAATAGAATCAGGATTTAATTGACGTTAAAATAACGGTAACATTATCACCACTTAATCGTAACACGGCTTCACTGGTTAATTTAGTACAGGCAGTCTCAAACTGGATAGCTGAATTACATTCTTCACCAGTCTGAAAATATACACAAATAAAATGAAATGGGGTTTAACAACCTACTGTTCTGCTCCAACTGGGGTAATGAAGACAGGCATACACCATACAGTGTGCTATGAGGGAGCTTCAATATGGCCTACTCTGGCCACTGTGGCTCCCTTCTGAGATATAAATGAAATGAAATGTGGTTTAACGTCCTACTGTTCTGATCCAACGGAGCTAATGAAGACGGGCATACGCTATACAGTATGCTATGAGGGAAATTATGCCCGGACAGCGGCACTAGAGCCTACTTTTATTTCGAATTCCAACTGTCGAGAGATCTTTAACTTGCATCACAATATGTACACAGGACCTCGTTTTTTTGTCCCATTCGAAAGACTGTCCTTGTCCCTTGCCAGGCCAATATATACACAAACACTTAATTAAAGCCTCTGTACATCATTCATTTAATAGTAAGTACAGGGGGACCACACCACACACAACCAATTACACAAGACAAACCTATGGACACAACACACAATATACAGACACCTCAAACAACAAATGTACATATCAGATCTAGTAAATGGATCCGGAGGCTAGCCGAAAGCGTCCACTGCGCTGTAGCGTCTCAAGCATGTATTGATACAGACTTAACTCATAATAAAAAACAAACTAACAACAAGAGAATAAGGGGTATTGAAATGTTGCATGAAATAAAATAAGAAATAGATCTAGTGAATGGAATGAATCCGGAGGCTAGCCGAAAGTGAGAGAGAGAGAGAAATGGGGTTTAACGTCCACTTGACTCAAACTAGGTCATTTCGGGACTAACATATGGTTTAATTTTATTTACATAATTCGCTTGCGCGTGGGGGTCTTTAGCAGTGGGAGGAAACCGGAGGACCCGGAGAAAACCCACGAGGTTGGACAGGCGACCCTACTCCTTGCCACGTACAACCGGGGATTCGAAACCACGCCAGTCGACTCAATGACAGACTTTATGATACAGCGCGCGCACGCTAACCATTCAGCCATCCAACCCCCCCTAGCCGAAAGTGTCCACGGCGCTGTTCAGTAAGGTATTCAACCAGTTTTTATTATCAAAATTTCTTCTTTGGTTACAGAACAAAAATAGAGCTGAAATCCTTCACATTGGGTAGGAGAAGAATTTGAATATGTACAAAAATATCTAAATTGGACACTCGTTATCAAAATTTATCAGTCAGCTTTAAAGGGACAATAACACTCTTGTTGTAACTGAATAATATGTCCCAATCTTTATTCTGGTCAACAAATTGTACTGTTTTAGAATATTTCAATTAATTGATGATACAAATTTCATCTTAACACACTTTATTTAAAATTTTTGGAAAATTCAACATAATGGTTTGAAACGTCTAACATAAACCTTTTCAAATGAAACTTCAATTAAAAATATTTTCGAACCCTCTGGACAAGTAAAATAGGATGTAATGGATAATTTACACAACAGGTAGGACACTTAAACATCTAATACTTAGATAGAGATATTATTTATTTTCTGGAGCTTTCAAGCCAGCAAGAGTGTTATTGTCCCTTCAAACTGGACATAAGTACAAATTTGATGATTTTTGGTGATTTTAAATGATTCTTACATAATTTAAACAAAGATTTGATATTGAATGAATGTGAAAGTAATTAGTTCTATATATACATGAAATGAAATGAAATGGGGTTTAACGTCCTACTCTTCTGCACCTAACCTGGGCTAATTGGAGACGGGCATACGCCATGCAGTGTGCTATGAGGGAAATTTTGCCCGGGCAGCGGCGCTATGGCCTACTCTTATATCGAATTCCAACTGCCAAGCGATCTTTTACGTGCACGCCAATGTGTACACGGGACCTCGGTTTTTCGTCCAATCCAAACGACTAGACAGCTGTCCTTGTCAGGCCCTCCGTTCTGCATCACTGACAAGGGGAAACCACGCCGGAAAATCGAGATGAACTTTCTCGGCCAATGCAGGGATCGAACACCCGACCTCCAGGCTAGCGAGCCAGCGCCTTACCCACTTTGCCACGTGATCCCCTCTATATATACAAGATTAAATAATATCTAGATTACAGTGATACTTACATCTAATATATTATTGACAAACTTGATACTTTCTTCCATTGTAAAACTTTTCCATAAACCATCACAGGCCACCATTAAATATCTACAAAATTAACATCATTTGAATATAAATACTGTACTTCTACAAACAAAACATTGTTACATAATCACAGATGTTATAGACGCTTCCTGCCACCTTGACACATGAAAGTGATTTTAATATCAACATCAACCTGTCTGACCCCTGGAGTGCTTGGTAGGATTCCTTATGTGATTATGTAATCTTAACTTGTTGTTGGCATGTTTTATTTAAACTTTCTTTGTCTGATTGTATCGAATGTTAAACCTGATATGATACATCAGCCAGATGTCTAATAAGATCCCTTGTTTGGAAGGGTTTATAAACCCAGATAACAAACGAATCGACAGTTAGGTCCGGCCAGGACACAAAAGCAAAGGCCGTGGGCGCCTTGGCACAGGACGAGACGGAACGAGGGAGAGCGCCAGAGAGTTGGCACATTTGTGCCAAGCTAAGCCATGGCTCCCTCAACACAAGCTAACTTGATTAAAAGAAGAATACTGTAACAACATTAATCTTATTCTAGTGGTCTAACCGTTGCACTTTCGATAATAAGTGGCATGGTTTCAAAAGAAAGAGAAAGAAATGGGGTTTAACGTCCACTCGACACAAACTATGTCATTTCGGGACTAACATATGGTTCAATTTTTTGTAATAATTCGCTTGCGCATAGGGGTCTTTAGCAGTGGGAGGAAACCAGAGAAAACCCACAAGTTGAACAGGCGACCCTACTCCTTGTCACGTACAACCAGGAAATCGACATCACGCCACTTGACTCAATGACAGACCTTATGATGCAGCCCGCACACGCTAACCATTCGGCCACCCCCCCCCCCACACTCAACAAGAAGAAGAGTAAAAATAACTGTTCATTTTCAATAAATCCTGGATTAAGATGTTTGAACAGATAATCCTTTATCTGGTTTCAAAGATAGCTGAACCTGGGTTATCTCCCTTTAGTCTTCAGTATTTCATCAATTTAATTTCTTTCCTACAAAGAGGTACCAAGACCAACTAAACAAATATATTTTGTTGACCTTGTCAAAATAGTATCTATATGTTAAAACAGATTGGATTAGACGAAATTGGGTTTATTATCCCACTTTTCTGCACTGACCGGGCTGATGAAGACTGAAGACAGAAATTTTGTTGTGGCAGTGACACTACTTTCAGTGGTTTACATTGGAACATATCACATTTATATTGTCCACAGTACTGAATGTTTATAAATTTTCAATTCACCATATCTTTGTAAATACTGAACTATTTTTGGACGGACATTCCTTTTATAGGTTCAACTTTCACAGTATTGTAGTTTGCAAGGAATTAAATAAAGATGCATTATGTAAGATTTAGATAAAGAGATATAACGGTTCAAAAGTAGATCATGAAAATTTTGTGCTTGAAATTTAAGTCATCTACAGTATAACATTTAAAGCCAAAGACCTGCAATAGGCAGATATAGCTCCTACATAATGCATCTTTAACAATCCCTCAAATGATGCTCGGAAAGAGAGAAGGAGAGAGAGAGAGATGGGGTTTAATGTCCACTCATCCACTCGACACAAACTTGGTCATTTTGGGACTAACACATGGTTCAATTTTTATTTCATGTACAGATCATTAGCAGTGGGAGGAAACCGGTGGACCCGGAGAAAACCCACAAGGTTGGACAGATGACCTTACTCCTTGTCCCGTACAACCGGTGAATCGAAACCACGCCAGTTGACTCAATGACAGACCTTATGATACAGCGTGCCCACGCTAACCATTCGGCCACCCAAACCACCCATGATGCTCTGAGTCTTTAATATAAAAAAGAAATAAAATAATATATAAACCTGTCATCATCTGTCAGCTGACATCTTTTTATATCTGGTAAACAAGAAACTCCATGATTTTTATACGGACCATCCCCTAATGATCGTGATACTTCTAATACACCCATCACACGCCCTTCCCTGAAAATATCCACGCATAATATATTTGGAAAATAAAACTTCTGATATACAAGTCTAAAGTGAGAGAGAAAGAGAGAGAAATGGGGTTTAACGTCCACTCGACACAAACTAGGTCATTTCGGCACTAACATATGATTCAATCTTTATTTCAACAATTTGCCAGTTGACTCAATGACAGACCTTATGATACAGCGCACACGTGCTAACCATTCGATCATCCAACCGCCCTCCCCCTCTCAAGTCTAAAGTATACAATCGGACTATCAGCTAATGGTCGCGATACTTCTAATATAATCATCACATATTCAAGTTGTGAAATTTTCATTTTAAAAACAAGTCCAAAGAATCAGATATGTGAGTCCTACTTTCCAGTACAACTGGGCTATACAATGTGCTTTAAGGGAAGTTGAATTAATATGAGTAAATATTTCTTAGAAAAAAAAAATGATCAATTTCCCTTAGTTTTAATTGACATCAAAATAACTAACACCAAATAACATCAACAAAAATTATTTGAATTTGAATGTGACATGCTAGAACACCAGATAACATTTCTTAACAATTTTTGAAGATGATTTACAAAACTATTTTGGAACATGACTTACGAACTATTTTTTGAAGATGAATATTAAAACATTGTAAAGAACAATAATGAAATATATACCTTACAGTTCCGCCGGCCATTTTAATTATAATCTTGCAAAGAAATATAATGATATTTACCTAACAGTTCCACCGGCCTTTTGTATTCGTTTTCTTTCTTCATACACACTGGGGCTATGATCCGTTGTTAGTGGCAATGCTGTATATTTACCACTGGTTTTATTATATCTACATAATATAGCCTAAAATATAAGTAATAATATAGCCTATAATATAATATAAACTACAATATAAGTAATATAATATAGTCTACAATATAAGTAATATAATATAGTCTACAATATAAGTAATATAATATAGCCTTCAATATAAGTAATATAATATAGCCTATAATATAATATAGTCTACAATATAAGTAATATAATATAGTCTACAATATAAGTAATATAATATAGTCTACAATTTAAGTAATATAATATAGCCTACAATATAAGTAATATAATATAGCTTAAAATATAAGTAAAGTAATATAATATAGCCTACAATATAAGTAATATAGTCTACAATATAAGGAATTCATAATAGCCTTCAATATAAGTATTAATGCCTTCAATGTAATAATGCCTACATAATAATATAGCAGTTCAAAGTATCAAACAGCGTACCTTACTATCACCAAGGTTGGCTATATACATAGTATCATTAATAACTAACACTGACACGGCTGTGGTTCCGTCCTTCCATGATGGTTTACTACGGGAAGAAATTAAAAACATTTATTTCACAAATTACACAAATTACCTGCCTTTTTCGCAAGCACCATTTCTGACAAAGTCCGAGCTTGAATTTAGCTGATAAAGAGACTGTATGTACATTGCACATGTAAAGACAAAATGAAATGAAATGGATTTTAACATCCTACTATTCTGCTCCAACTGGGCTTATAAACACGGGCATATGCCATACAGTGTGCTATGAGGGGAACTTTGCCCGGACAGCGGCGCTACTGCATATTCTTATTTTCAACTCCAACTATGAACGGTTCTTTTACGTACAACCCAATGTGTACACAGGACCTCATTTTTTTGTCCCATCCAAAGAACTATGTATAAAGACAATTTGCCTGTCCATATTTCTTCTTAAAGAAAATACAGCAGAAATCATCTACTCTTACTTTTTTGATGCTTTGTGCAGGAAATCTTCGTCCAGACTTTTAAAAGTTTCAATAAAAGTTTTTCTAATTTCTTTCTCTACATTGGTAACATCACCTGAAAAAAGAAATGACAAACCGTAAAGATAGTTGTATAAACTTAATTTACAGACATTTACTTTTCTTTCTTTAACAAAATTTACGTTTTTATTTTAAGTAATCATTTCAAGATTTCTAATATAATGTCGTATAATATTCAAAAGATCAATTTATTTAAGTTTTTACTAACAAATTCATTTCATAAGATATATTTTTCAAAAATAGATTATATTTAATATTTATTTATTACATAGTTGACAATAAATTTGTTTAAAATTGTCTCAAAAAAAGTAGTCTGCCCCTGCCATAACACAACACAGAGAGAGAGAGAGAGAGAGAGAGAGAGAGAGAGAGAGAGAGAGAGAGAGATGGGGTTTAACCTCCATTCGGCACAAACTAGGTCATTTCGGGACTAACATATGGTTCAATTTTATTTCAATAATTCGCTTGAGCGTAGGAGTCTTTAACAGTGGGAGGAAACCAGAGGACCCGGAGAAACCCATGAGGTTGGACAGGCGACCCTAATCCTTGTCACGTACAACCAGGGAATGGAAACCACGCCAGTTGACTCAATGACAGACCTTATGATACAATGTACAAGCACTAACCATTCAGCCATCCAACCTCCCCAATTCTGAAAAAAAGGGAGACAGACAGACAGAGACAGAGAGAGAAATGGGGTTTAAGGTCCACTCAACATAAACTAGGTCGATTTTGGGACTAACGTATGGTTCAATTTTAGTTCAATAATTTGTTAGCGCTTAGGGAAGAGAGAGAGAGGGAACTGGGGTTTAACGACCACTCGACACAAACTAGGTCATTTCGGGACTAACATGTGGTTTAATTTTATTTCAATAATTCGCTTGCACGTAGGGGTCTTTAGCAGTGGGAGGAAACCGGAGGACCCAGTGAAAATCCACAAGGTTGGACAGGCGACCCTACTCCTTGTCATGTACAACCAGAGATTCGAAACCACGCCAGTTGACTCAATTACAGGCTTTATGATACAGCATGCACATGCTAACCATTCGGCCATCAAACCCCCCCAGCGCTTATGGGTCTTTAGCAGTGGGAGCAAACTGGAGAACCCGGAGAAAACCCACGACCTTACATACCACCGAAAAAACGAAACCACACCACTTGACTCAATGACACACCTTATGATACAAGTACAAGCGCTAACCATTCGAGCCCCCCCCCCTCCAATTCTGGATAAAGGAGGGACAAATGAAATAAGAGAAGGACGACATAACATGTAACACTTAATACAATTTATGGCAGGGGCATAAAGAATGAAATAATTCTATGGGGATATCCTTTAACAGTACCCTTGGGAAAGGTATCCCTCAGAACTATGTGCAATTGGCTGGAAGCGAACCTTGATGCTCTCGAACCACCATGACCATCAAATACACAATATAAAGCCAGTCTTGAACTGAAACGATATTTAATATTTACATAAGTTCATTAAACATACATTATTTAAGAGCTAAATCTGCCTACTGCTAATTTCTCTGTTCAGAGTGGAGCAATTTGGCTGAAATTTTCAGCATATTCCCCTTACATTATCTAGTTTTTAACTTTTTTATTGCGAACTGTCAGCTCTTTATCCATTTTTCTATAATGCCTATTTAATAAATGATATTTTTCCTACAAACTTATGGGCCTTTCTTTCAAATTTAAATCGATTTTTTAAGGCTAGTATTTAGAAAGAAATGACTGAAATTATATTCCAAGGACATGGTAGATGGAAGGAGCGACATTCATAAGCAGAACCGAGTCATGGTGTTTGTGAAGTTGAAAGTACGAATTTGAATATTTTGTGACAGAATTTTTAATTGTAGTCTGAAACCACCTGTATAAATAACAATAAGAGTTATGCAACTTTATTTTCGTTCATGAGTGTAGATGGGTGTATATTGTTATATTGATGGGTGTAGATGGGGTATATTGTTATATTGATGGGTGTAGATGTGGTATATTGTTATACTGATGGGTGTAGATGGGGTATACGGTTGTATTGATGAGTGTAGATGTGGTATATTGTTATATTGATGGGTGTAGATGGGGTATATTGTTATATTGACGGGTGTAGATGGGGTATATTGTTATATTGATGGGTGTAGATGGGGTATATTGTTATATTGATGGGTGTAGATGGGGTATATGGTTAGTTGAAACTTACATTGATGGGTGTAGATGGGGTATATGGTTAGTATAGTCGTTTAATAGAATATGAGCATCCTGCATTTCTTCTCTTTCACCTTTCTGAGCAGATACACAACCTTTTAGCTTATATTTATCTGAAATGAAATGAAAATGAAATGAAGTGGGGTTTAACGCCCTACTGTTCTGCTCTGAACTGGGCTACTGAAGACGGGCATAGCCATACAGTGTGTTATGAGGGAAATTTTGCTCGGGCAACGGCACTACAGCCAAGTCTTATATCGAATTGCAACCGTCAAGGGATCTTTTACGTGCACGCCAATGTGTACACCAGACCTTGTTTTTTCATACCATCCGAACGACTAGACAGCTGTCCTTGTTCGACCCTCCGTCCTGCATCACTGACAAGAGGGAAATGATATGAAATGGAGTTTAATGTCGTACTCTTCAGTTCCATCCAAGCGAATGAAGGCGGGCATGTGCCATACAGTGTGGTAAGTAGGAAATTTTGCCCAGACAGTGGTACACTATTTTACCAAATTCCAAGAGTTTTTTAACGTGCACGCCAACGTGTCAATCCGACACAAACTAGGTCATTTCGCGACTAATGTACGGTTCATTTTTATATCAATAACACCCTTGCATGTAGGAGTCTTTAGAGCAGAAGGAGGAAACCAAAGGACCTGCAGAAATCCAACAAGGCTGGACAGACCTTATGATCTAAAGCGCATGCATTAAATCATTCGGCCACCCAACCCCGCCCCTCACTACTCTATGCGTAATAAGGCATCAAATTAACATTTGTAAAAAACCCAACCTTATAGATTAACTATTCTTACAATCAGATTAAAACACAGATCCTATTTTGTTTCGTTTCTTATAGTTCAAAATTTCGTTTTACATGTACTTGTCTTTACAAAACTAAGATCTGGAAGAGTTCTTATATATATAAACGCGTTCTGAAGGATGTGAGGGATTAGCCAATGAAACAAATGAAATGAAATGAAATGGGGTTTAACGTCCTACTGTACTGCTCCCATACTGGGCTAATGAAGACGGGCATACGCCATAGAGTGTGCTATGAAGGAAATTTTGCCCGGGCAGCAGCACTATCGCCTACTCTTATATCGAATTCCAACTGCCAGGGGATCTTTTACGTGCATTCCAATATATACACGGGACCTCGGTTTTTCGTCTCATCCGAAGGACTAGACAGCTGTCCTTGTCAGGCCCTCCATCCTGCATCACTGACAAGGGGAAACCACGCCGGAAAATCTGGATGAACTTTCTCGGCCGCCAATGAAACAGTCTGTTACACCAAGTTATTGACGTGCTGTGCCTGGAACTTTCATCAGATTTCTTTTTTGACAAATCATGCTATATTATAAGATTTAAAAATTAGATACACAAATTATATGTGAAATGTCTTATATTTGTTCTTATTTGTTCTAAAATCTATATTTCACATGAAATTCAGTTGCAAATAATAATAGTGAAATGTTAAAATTAAAAAAAAATTTATGTAGAGATTCCTTCCCACCACCCCCAATAATATTACATTTTTTATAGGTTTTTGTTTCGTCTATCCTTTTTTCATCAAACTTAATCTTCTTCTCTTCCACAAGCGCTTCATCAAGACTTGTTCTTTTCTTTCCATTTTTAGATTCCACTGATATAGTAGAACTACCAGTACTTGTTGATTCTGTAAATAACACGAAACAATATTGTATTATATTCAAAGATATTCATTAGATACCCGAGAAGGTAAAGAAAATGTAACTACTTGAACAACACAATTCAGCATATATGGCCAGCAAGAGAGAGAGAGAGAGAGAGAGAGAGAGAGAGTGAGATGAAATGTTTTGTTCTGACTGGGCTAATGAAGATGGGCATACGCTACACAGTGTGCTATGATGAGGGAAATTTTGCCCAGACAGCGGCACTATGGCCTACTCTTATATCAAATTCCAACTGCCGAGGGATCTTTTATGTGCACACCAATGTGTACATGGGACTTTGTTTTTTTGTCCCATCCAAACAACTAGACAGTTGTCCATGTCAGGCCCTCCGTTCTGCACCACTGAAAAGAGGAACCAGGTTGGAAAATCTCAATGAACTTTCTCAGCCAATGCAGGGTTTGAAGAGAGAGAGAGAGAGAGAGAGAGAGAGATGGGCTTTAATGTCCAATACAAGCAAACTAATTTATTTCATGACTAACACATGGTTCTATTTATTTCAATAATAAGTTTGCGTGTTTCGTTCTTTTAGAAATGGGAGAAATCGGAAAACCCTGACCATGTACAAGCTTAGAGTCGAAACCATGCCACTTGATGACAGACCGTATGGAGCAGAATAGTAGGACATTAAAGAACATTAGAGAGAGAGAGAGAAATGGAGTTTAACGTCCACTCCACACAAACTAGGTCATTTCGTGACTAACATATGATTCAATTTTATTTCCATAATTCGCTTGTGCGTAGGGGTCTTTAGCAGTGGGAGGAAACCGGAGGACCCGGAGAAAACCTACGAAGTTGGACAGGCGACCCTACTCCTTGTCACATACAACTGTGGATTCGAAACCACGCTAGTTGACTCTCACTCAATGACAGACTTTATGATACAGCACGCACATGCTAACCATTCAGCCATTCAACCCCCAACATTAGAGATAATAACAGAACACAAATTTCAAACGCATAATTCTCAATACTTAAGTTAAATATTTCAGATTCGTCAGTTCCCCAGAAAAGCGACGATTTAACCCCATTTTATTTCAGTTCAAAGAAAAAGAGCTGCTTGGTGTACTCAGCAGTGTAATTTTATACCATAGTCCAGGGGTGTCAAACATTCGGCCCATCAAGGGTTTAATTTGGATCGTGGAACCAATTTCATCAAACTGACGTGTGTCAATAATTCTTAGAAACTACATGGAGTGGTGAAAATCATTTAATATTGTTTTCCTGTTTCAGTAAAACTCTGACTTCTGTGTATGTCACAGATATCTAAGTAATACAAGAGAACGTTGTGTTCAATATTATATCTTCGCAATTTGGAAACCAGTCTAAAAAAAACTACCTGTGTCAAGGTAAGTTTGGCTTTTTTTTAGAATTCAGTAAAGTTCAAGGACATTTAGCCGGTTTAGCTTTGTTGTCAGAATTTTTGTATATCTCCAGCCCACTTGATCACTTGATGTAAAATTTTACCTGAATCAAAATGAGTTTGACACCATAGACCACATTATACATAATATAATGATATATATAGAGTTCCGGATATATTAGGCCTATTTGTTAAGGCCAGCTCAATTTTTGTCATGGTCGTTGGGATATAAATAAGGTTAGGAGTAGGACACATGATTTTGGGAGACATTGTAGGTTAGGGTTTGGGTAAGCATTGGGGCTAGGTCCAGGGTTAGGGTTGTGATTAGCACTAGCCCTGTTTACATCTCGTGACCTATGACAGAAAAGCGAGTTGGCCTTATCATTTAGCACCAAGACTAACCGGATGGTTTTTACCGTGGTGGACTTTATAAATAATGGTTTTACGAACGTCAAAATAACAAATACATTGACAGAATTTTTATTACTAACCCAATGGATCCGGCAAATCACCAAATAGGTCCATACTTTAACAATCTTGTCGGATGTGATTAGTGTTAACGAATATTAATAACAATCTACTACGTAAACAAAATATTTTTTGAGCTTCCATGACACTCGAGTTTTACCGGAAGTACCGGTTGAAATATATTTGGCCACAGATCACTAAATATTTCCCCATTGACTTTAATGTTAATTCTCGTATCTTAGACCGGCTATAACTTTTTCCCAAATTTTCGTTGGGTAGAACGCTTTCTGCCACAGATGGAGCAACAAGTGGCAAACTCTTGCCCAAAAGCATGTATGAGGTTCACCATAACAAAAACTTGAGATACACAAGCTGGAAGTAGAGATAATTAAACATGCAATTTTCGGCTCTACATTTCAACCTAACCAACCTCTCAACACTTATAATATCGCTCCGCCTCAAATCCTTTTCTTCGATTCTACACCAAAAAGTCAACAAAAATAGCTATGCAAAAGGGGAAAAAGGGAAAGGTATAATTAAAGACTAAAAATAACTTGTGCAACGATGTAGAAATATTTGGTGATCTGTGTCCATTTCACGAAGGATTAAAAAACGAAACGAAATGAAATGGAGTTTAACGTCCTACTGTTCTGCTCCTAACATGGCCTAATTAAGACGGGCATACGCCATACAGTATGCCACGAGGGAAATTTTGCCCGGGCAGCGGCGCTACGGCCTACTCCTATATCGAATTCCAACTGCCAAGGTATCTTTTACGAAACGAAATATTGAATTATATAATTTGAACTAGCAGTGAGATTATTTTTTACATGTTCTTATAACGACTATTTATTCTTGTGTGTCATAATTTATTTATACCTACATGTTTTAATAGTAACCAGGCCCTTACCCGGTAATTATTTTCTATGATGTATTACGAAACAATTTGAAAAAAAAATAATGGGCATTGGAAAAATAAATAAACAAAGTAGTCCTAGTCCTATATAAATTATATATAGTACAGTATACAACCCATATAAGAGAGAGAGAGAGAGAGAGAGAGAGGGGGGGAGAGGGTGGGCGCGTATGTTAGGGTGACCACCCGTCCCGCATTTCGCGGGACAGTCCCGCAAAATGTTTCCAAGTCCCGCGTCCCGAAAACCAGACAAAATTTCCCGCAACTGCTAACATGGAAGATTTCTGTAACAGTAATATGCGTGAATCTAGTCTCGTGATAGTCTATTTGAGTATTAGTCTAGTCAAAATACTGATACACGCCCACCACAAATTCCTTTAGAAGGCCTTTTGGTACCAACATGTAAATGACCTTTCCCTGTACATCATTCTGAAAATCCACCGAAATCCACCGGCGTGGTTCCCCCTTGTCACTGGTGCAGGACAGAGGGTCTTGGTCAATGTATACTCATTCGGATGAGACGCAAAAGAATCCTTGGCAGTTGGAATTCTATATAAGAGTAGGCCGTAACACAGGTCCCGGGCACAATTTCCCTCATAGGACACAATATGGCGTATGCCCGTCTTCATTAGCCCAGTCGGGCGTTAAATCCCATTTCAATTACGTTTAACTCAAAGAAATAAATATTTTAATGTAATAAACATAAGAAATGGAAAATATTGACAAAAATTAACGAATATAATTTATATAACATTGACACCCCACCCCTCTCTTGCACTACAACTACATCCACATCAGCAGCGCAACCGACAACACCACGACCGTCACCATACTAAAATTAAATTAAACGAATATAATTAATTCACATTTTATATTTAAACAATATTGTAAAGACCTGCACTGCCAGTAGAAATCTAAGTTCTCAGACAGTACATCTTTGAAAATCTCCAAATATTAACTTACAACTTGGAAAACGAGCCAGACCTTTTCCTTAGGAATAAACTACCAAAGTCAATTATTGTCAAAACAATCGAGGGAGAGAGAAAAAGATAAATGGGATTTTACAAACTATAATTCGCTTGCACATAAGGTCTTTAGCTTTGGGAGGAAACCAGTGGACGAGGTTAGAAGTCGACCCCATTCCTTGTCACGTACAAGCGGGGAATCGAAACCACGCCACTTGACTCAATGACAGAACTTATGATCTAAAATGCATGCGTTAACCAATGGGCCACCCAACCCCCCTCTTACCCAAAGAATAATAAAATTAAATAAATACTAGTATTAAAATTTGTTACATGGTGAATCACATAAACAAACAACATTAGCTGACTGGTTTAATGGAGTATCAATTGCAATCGCTTTCGCTTTGTCGTCTCTGAATTAGTAAAATTCAAATATATCTATTGATGCATAACAGAATATGATTGTGTAAAGGTATCTTGTATTATTAATATAGCATGACATGGTGATCAACCAGGGAAAGTTAAGGATGCATTACGTAAGATTTAGATAAAGAGCTGACAGTTCTTGCAATAATAGTCTAAACATACATCATGCAAGAGCTAAATCTGCCTTTTGCAGGTCTTTCTTTCGGCTTGAAATGTTATATAAACCATTAATTAGACATTTACTAACAAAACAAGCCTTGTGTATTAATTTAAAACCATAACGTTTTTGTTTCAAAAATGTTGTCTAGTAAGAGAGCTAGGTTCAGGTTGTTTCGAAAATCGAGTACAAAATTTTTACTATGCTAGATGAGAGTGGACAACGGTGCCCGATACTCTGAACCTTGATTCTTAAATTGAGAGTCCCCTTCCCATGGCTGTTGGGGTTCCGGCAGATAAGATAAGATGAGATAAAATTTTATTGTATCATTGCATCCACCAAGAACAGCATACACAGTTTAAACAAAAGTAGATAAAACGTCGAAATTTCGAGTTAAATTCGAGTTTAATTCAACAATAAACGTTCGTACATAAGTCGACCAACCTTAGATGTCACCAAAAACACGAAGACCAACGACCCGTCCTTCCTCCCTTAAGAACACCCTCTTTAGCTCCTAAACGGTACAACTACAGCATTAATTTTTTCGTCAAAAGTTTCACTATTGGTTCACTAGAACATAACACTATCTTAAGAACGCGAAATCGACTTCTATCCCAGATAGGAACTACAAATGTTTATCTATTTTTCCACGAGAACATATCAGTAACTTAAGAACACGAAACCCCCTTCTATCTTGGATAAGAAGGAAGGAAGTACAATTATATAGCGCTGCTCTGGGAGCTGGGAGCTGATTTAGTTGCCGTCCATTCTGTTTCACCAAAATACAATCTATAGGATTCGTCATACTCATGATATTCTAAGATTTTCCTTGTCATCGTTTAGTATTTGTAATTGTCTTCTCTGCTTTCTTTTCACGTTGTGTATTTTCTTCTTACTATCTCAGAGAGAGAGAAAAAAAATGGGGTTTAACGTCCACTCGACACAAACTAGATCATTTCGGGACTAACATATGGTTTAATTTTTTATTTCAATAATTCGCTCGTGCGTATAGGGGTCTTTAGCAGTGGGAGGAAATCGGAGTTCCCGGAGAAAACCCACGAGGTTGTGGACAGGCGACCCTACTCCTTGTCACTTACAGCTGGGGAATCGAAACCACGCCAGTTGACTCAGTGGCAGGCCTTATGATACAGCGCGCACGTGCTAACCATTCGGCCATCCAACCTTCTTACTATATCAGTAGTGTCTTCTCAGTAGTTAAGACATTTGTCTTACCAGGAATAACAATGCATCAGTTCGTTTTTACATTTTATATGTCAAGCACTGATTACATATGATACAAGCATAGATTACAATAAAGTCATTCTCTCAATCCCATTCCACCCCGACTCGCTGGAGCGAGTCTACTGATAGAAATTGCTACGGTCTAGGAACTTAGATGGAAATCTCTCCGGAACCCAATTATATCTGAATCATAAATGGCTGGCTTGGACTTTTTAACAGATTTGCTTACGTCATGGCTTAATAAGATTCTGCAAATAATGAATTTGATTGGATAGTTACAGTGTACGATGTAATTAGTAAATTTCGAATCACGTGTCAAACATGATATTCTGATTCCCACGGAACCATGTATGTTTACCAAATTATAACTCTTTTTATGTGTAAATCCGTCACTCATTATTTGAGTGCATTAGATATGAATTCTATGTGCAATGTGGGTATGTGAACCCAATAATTAGTAAAGGATACAATATGGTCGCAAGGACCATAGTACTACAAAACAGGAAGGAAGGGTCGGGTATTCTTGCGTAGTGTTTTTTTTTTCTTCTTTTTTTAAACAACATCTTAGGTTGGTCTACTGAATTAAACATATATTATGCAAGAGCTAAATCTGCCTATTGCAGGTCTTTCTTTAGGCTTAAATGTTTTCTAAATTATTAATTAGAAATTAACTTATCCAGGCCATAATGGACTCTCGATGACATCAGATTTCTCCGATATTAAATAGATTAGAACAGTTCAGACATATTCTGATTTAAGCTAAAAATGGAGGAACGAGACTTAGCTTCGAACAACCAGTACGGTGGTTGAAATTATTGCACACGTCTTGTCAAACCTTCAAAGGCTAATATCTTCGCAATAGAGTAATTTGAATGAAATTTTCAAATTATTAATTTTACATTATCTTTTTCCGAACTAGTATAGCAAGAATGGCTAGCTCTTTATCTAAATCTTACATAATGTATCTTTAAATCGCCAGTTTTGGTCAGTTCACGCATGGGCCCCGTTTTGTCGTTCTTATCCGATATTGGAGGTGGATTTCGCGTTCTTAATTTAGCGTTATGTTGTCCACTCAGTGAAAAAATTAATGTTGTACGCGGAATTCGAATTTACTCATCTCTAAGCGAGGTACAAGGGAAGGGGGGGGGGTCTCAAGAGAGGAAGAAGGAAGTAGAAGCATAGTAGAAAACCTGCTTTAAAATCGTTTTTCGGGTGCTTTTAGACACCAAAACGTTACAATGGTAAATTGGCATAAAGAAGGGTATATTATCAAATGTCGATATAAATTACTGTCCTGTAAGTTGAAGTAATGGTGGTTTTGGGTAGATTTTGGTAGATTTTGGTTGATTTGACATCAAAACGTTATGATTGTAAATTAGAAATGACGATTTGGTATAAAGAACGATGTGTTATCAAATGTCGATATAAATTATTGTCCTGTAAGTTGAAATAATGTTGGATTTGGGTAGGTTTGG